TCTAGGCCACACACATTGTGCTGAAGGACGGCTGCCTGGTGTGTTCCCCAAATCAGTTCCAGGGCCCACGCTGGTTTCACACTGTAGGGCGAGGGGTCGGCAACGTTTGGCATGCGGCTCGCCAGGCCCTGGCGGGCCGGGTCAGTTTATTTACCTACTGACGCGGCAGGTTCGGCCGATCACGGCCCACACTGGCCGCGATTGGCTGAACCTGCCGCGTCAGCAGGTTAATAAACTGGCCTGGCCCGGCCCGCCAGGGTGCTTACCCTGGTGAGCCGCGTGCCAAATGTTGCCGACCCCTGCTGTAGGGCAACCTTTCAACGCAAGGTCATGGTGCTGCCACACCATCTCTCAATGGATGGGTTTGAGTGACACTACAAAACGTTGCAGCTTTGGTACAAAGGCAGTCTCAGTTCTATATAAATGGAGGGAGGGAGATGGGGGAGCACAGTCCTTATGACCATAGTCTAAGCCTCAGGCAGAAGGTCAGGAGCTGCGGAAATGTCTGTAGTGACTGACCCCAGGAGCCTCCTTCCTCCCCCATAGAACAACGGAACCCCTAGTCAGAGACACACACTGAACTTGGCAGGGAAGGGAAGTCACCCCCTTCCCCTTTGCAATGAACTACTCACAAGCTATTCTCCATCCCCCTCCCCCCCTCCACAGCAATGGACTCGTCTCCTGTATATGACTGCAGGAGGGGAGGGGGCCAGCCCACTTGGACAGGGGGAGGAGAAGGCTGTGTGGTAAGTATAGGAAGGGGAGGAGGGGTTAGTGGCTTCGGTGCCGTGTTGCTATGGGGAGACCGAGAGACTAGAGGGTGGTGTTGCTGCTGCGCAGGGAGAGAGGGAGCAGCAGCTGCTGCTGATCCCTGACACATCCCCCTACGGGCCTGCTGCCATATTGTGTCCACTCTCCCCCAGCCGCACAGCTTCATGACTACTGTGAGTATGGACCCCATTATTAACTGTGATGGTGGTGGGGGAGATTTTTCCTCCAACCCTTCCAGCAGAGAGATTCCCAGCCTATATTTGCGTGTGTTTTATTTTAGAATATCTGAACCTACAAAGAACATACATGTGGTTAAAGGATGAGCGTTTCCTGCTCTGAGGTGGCAGCACTGGGGCGGGGGGGATCACTGCCGCCTCTCAGAGGTGGGATGTATAAAGTGGGTTTGTTAATTGGGGCTGGAATGAAATTGTGATTCAAAATAGCAAACGTGGGCTGGGGGAGGAGGTTTAACAGGGGCAGGTGGGCTGTGGATTGGAGTTTGTCCCGCTCACCCGGCCGCACAGGGGACAGCCTGTCTTTGGTTAAAATTGCTTAATAAATATGGAGGGAGAGGAAGCAGTTTGTTCAGGGGGCTGGTGCCTCTGGAGAGCTCGGGTGTGACTCGTGAGGGGACGGAGCCTTGTTTTGTTTTCGCAGTCAGGTCTGGGAAGAGGCTGGGGGGCCGCGTGTGTGTGATGAGAGGGAGAAGGGCTGCTCGGCGGCGGGCGTGAGTGAGCACACATGGATAACGCGCAGAGAGGGAGAGAGTAAATAATGGAAGAGGCGAGGAAGCTTATGCTGACGACTTGGGGCTGCCTGGGTCGTTGTTCCGCATGGGTCGCTTCCAGAGAGTCTGGGTAAGGGCCGGAGCCCCCAAGCCCACCCTAAGAGAAAGCATGTGCCGAGATCGCCCTCCGGGTTCGCAGCCCCCCCAGCACTGAGGACGCTTGCCAGGAGTGCAGATCTGAAGTCAGCGATGAGTGACTCCCGCGCAGCCCCCGCAGTACAATCATCCCTCCAGAGAAGGGAGACTTGCCGTAAAATTACCACCCCCCCACCGCGCAAGGGAGGGATGCTCTCCTCCCTGTTGGAGAGTGAGGTTGACAGCTGGGCTGAGTCTTGCAACTCTGTTACTGCTGTTGGACTGGCTTTTCCTTCCCCATATGCCCCTGTTTTCCCGTGGGAGGAAGGGGGGAGGCTCTCTAAGGAGCATGTGGCCGGGAGAAGGTGGTGCGCCGAGAATAGCACCCACCGCAGTTCCTTGTAGGTGCCTGTCCTGCCTGAGCCAGCCCGGTGAGGAGAGGAGGTGTTAGTCCTCTTGCCCTTAAAAACATAACCTTCCCCAGTTGCAGGAAGGGCCTCTGTCCCCCCACTCGGATCCATTAGCAAAGGCAGCAGCTGATGCGTGCAAGGTGAGTTTCACACCACCACCACCCCCGGATCATGTGCGTTTAGTTCATTGATCTCCCCCATTTTGGTTGGGATTGTGACAGACACGTGGCCCGCTGAGCCCACCCCAGCAAGTCATAGGCATTTCTGGGAGTGTGTGTGTCTGTAACAACCGCGACAAAGAGCCAGCCTCTCACCGGTCCTCATGAGCTCCAGAGAGAGGGAGATCGTCCCCCAGTCTGCTGCTGCCACCGCTGCCCAGCTACTTCTGCGCGGCAGTTTAGCCGTCGTTCTCGGTGTCTTCTCCTTTCTCTTGTGCTCTTGGGTGAAGTACTTGGCTCACTTTTGAGATCTCTGCAGTGTTAGTTGTTCTTATGAGACATTAGTTTATATGGAGTGGGCTTCCTTCTGCCCAACCCCCCTTTTCCACTAGGAAATTTTTTCCTGGATGTGATGTTCTCAAACTTTTGAGATACCTAAAAACTTATTTCTTTTTGTCAGGAGTTTCAGATGTTTCTCTTAATCTGTGTTTAGGTATATAAAGGGGCTTTAAAAGCAGTATTGTGTATGTGTATATATATGTACACAAATGGTGTGCATGCATTTGTGTGTGTTTATGGTAATAATATTTGCATTGGTTGTTGTAATGAAAATATTAGCCACAGTTTCTTAAATTAACCCAGAAAAGTGACTGGCAGTTGATCAGATTGACATGTTCTTTTGTGTTTTGTACCCCATTGGATATGCTTTGGGGCACATTATGAATAATACAGTATAGTAAGATGGATTTCAGTTTTTCTTAATTCTCAGTATTTCAACAGAAATAAATTAACACTGTTTATATTAAATTAAGGGTTGTACTAAAAACAAAATGAAAAAATATAACACCATTTTACTGCACTGTGATGTATCCTGCTTTTTGAGCATGGGGAAATCCTCTGGCAGAAGTGGGTTAGTTAAGGCAATGGTACAGCTATGTTAAAAAAAAAAAAAAAGTAATAGAGGAGAGGGAACCAGGAGAAAGAATTCAGTAGTCCTGTACTGAGGAGGACATTGATAGGAGAGTTCAAAAATAAATTAATAAATTGGTGAGTGAGGAGAACACGCCCTCAGCATCCCATCTGAGCCATAACATTGGTTGTAGATTGTGAGTCAGAAATTTTACACTGAATGATTTTGATGGTGTAGGAAAAAATGTAACATCGCAATTGTGATCTTTGTTCAAACATAAATGCTCTTAGTAACTAAATTATATGATGATGGAAAGTTCTGTTTTGCTCCTAAAACTATATATGCAAACTTAAGAGGGTATGGATTTTTTTTATAGCCAGTAGTGAGTAGGAAACTTTTCCTTGGTGTCTGGTTGTACGTTACTTACAAGTTTCTGCAAAACTGAAATCTAATTAACAGGTAGAAGTGCTAAATTATATTCTATTTTATGGCTATGAAGACAACCTGATTATGAACTGGTACAATGCTGTGTAATTGAATCAGCAGACAGACAGCATGAAAGAATGGCTTGAGAGGTGTGAACGTCCCCTGTTCTTCTCAGGGTTAGTTAACTTGCATTCTCTGGGCCTGAATATATATATACTCTACCCTTATTCTGCGACCTGCTGGGGATACTAGTTGGTGGCTCCTCCATGGAGCTGAAATCATGGGTGTTTGCCTGGTGCAGTTCACAAATTCCCCCAACACCTGTCCCTTTTGGGGCAAGAGAGAGACCTTGGCACACATCTGTGTAGGGTTCATCAGATTGTAGCCCCTCCTTTGCATCATCCAGAACCTCTTACTGAAGTTCTGGCTGCACTTTTCCCCGCATCTCCTGATCTGTGCACACTCTGTCTGTGGCCTCCACAATCATGGGACATCCTCGTCAACCTTCTCTTGGCACTAGCCAAGGTGACTATCCATCGCTCCAGAAGTAGGAAGCTAGGCGGTGTGCTCTGTGACTTTGGGCCTATTCCTGGTCCCTTATCTGAGCATACTTCTGGGCAGAATTCCTCTGGGCAAAGTCCACTGACTCCCTGGACACCTTTGAGTAGTGGGAACTGTTGGGGGATTCTCTACTCAGTGTCCCCTCTCTGGATCCCTGATTTTCAACCTCACTCCCCCTCCCATTTTTTTTTTAATCTGTTGTCCCCAGTAATCAATTGTAGCCTGGGCTTAACTAATGGTGTGGGCCTTTAGTTATGGGCTGGCATAGAACTGCCTGTCCCAGTAATTCAAATAGTACTGCAGCTCCCACTGGTGCCACTACTTGTGCAACCCTAGTGGTAGCACTAGGGGGAAATTCCTTACCCACATGCTCCCTGAAAAAAAAAAAATCTTTAGTGCAAGCACAGTTATTGTACCCATCCACACTAGTAATGCAGTTGTATTGGGGGACTTGGTTACAAAACATCTATCCCAAATGTAGCTAAAGCATGGTTCGGTCTAAACCAACCATGCTTTGATGTGTCAGAGGACAGATATACAGTAGTTGAGGCCCACAGCATCAGGGCTGGCTTTAGCAAGTGTGGGGCCCAATTCCTGGGGCAGCACTTCGGATTGCCGGCTGGGGAAGAGGGGGCCCCGGGGCTTGCCGCGCTCTGGCTGGCGCTCCGGCCGGGGCCGCGGGGCTGTGGGGCTGCCGCGCTCCGGCTGGGGCCGCGGGGTTGTGGGGCTGCCGCGCTCTGTCCGGGGTCGCGGGGCTGCAGGGCTGCCGTGCTCCGGCCGGCGGTCCGGCTGGGGTCGCGGGGCTGCGGGGCTGCTGCGGTCCAGCCGGAGCTCCAGCCGGGAGAGTGGGGCTGGCCACGCTCCGCCAGAGCTCCAGCCGGGGTCAAACTTAAAAACAGCTTAAAAACATTGAGAGCTAAGTTTTATAGGACTTTCAAAAACTCTCTCTCCTACTTTCAAGAAAGAAGCATGATTTATTAAACTCCTATTGCTTCAGAGTATCAGCCACTGTTAACACATCTGAAGGTCCATAAAAAGATACAAGTGAAAGTAGACAAATGAGAGCCATTGCACTGAGCTCTGCTTCTCAGTGAAATAGTATTCCAAACAAACAAACAAAAAGAAACCTAGGAGTTCAGAGAAAGTGGGTGATACACAAGTAGTCAGCTGGGCAAAAGCAATGTCATGCATGAAATGATTACAAGTAGATAGTCTTTAAATCATTTCCCCTTGTGGGACCCAATTATCTGCAATTGGAGATGCTTTTATCCTGCAGATGGGAGAATGGAGCCCTTAATAATTATCAGTAAGTCCCAAAAGAAGCTTGCAGAAATATATACATACACAAAGTATTAATTTATTTTAAACAGTTTATCTTCACCCCAAACCCAAAAGGAAAGAGACCGAGGTTTCATTGCACACAGATGAGAGAGGAAAAAATGTTGGAAAAACTTTCAGAATTCTTCTCCCACTTTCTCTTGACTTGTACTCTCTCTCTCTGTCTCCCCAGGGATTTTAAGTTTCTTCCACACAGACAATTAAACCATGCTAGCTGAACCAGTTTTAAATATGGTTTGCATAACATATGTAGACAGTGGGCCTGATTCTCCGCTGCCTTGCATCGGGATGGATTTGAGTTAAATCATGATTTAAATCACTAGTCAGGAAGACTCAATTTAATC